TGATTCTGAGAGGCTTAAGAACTCTGATCAGTGTAATGACCAGTTGAGGCTACAGAAAACTGATGAATGCTTTCCACTTTTTTTCTGAGAGTGTGGTACACAATGAGACATAACATTTTTAGACATGGCTAATATGTATATATGTATGTTATGTAACTGTGCTTTTTTTTGTTATAAGGGAGGGCTTTCATTCTTTTTGAAGGGGAGAGTTATGGAGAGAACTGGGGAGTTAAGGAACCTGGTAAAATGATACTAAAATAAAGATGTCAATGAATCATTATCCTATAAATGAGAGCACAAGAAAGCTCAGAAGGAGACAGATATTGTCAGTTTTGAAACTACCATGTTAAATTGAAATAAACAGGGGCAGGTAGGTGGTGCAGTGGATAGAGCACTGGCCCTGAAGTCAGGAGGACCTGAGTTCAAATTCGGCCTGAGACACTTGACATTTACTAGCTGTGTGACCCTGGGCAAGTCACTTAACCCCATTGCTTAGCCCTCCCCAAAAAAACCCCTAAAAAAACAACCAAACAAAACAAAAAAAAAATTTTTGAAATAAATAAAAACTCTAAAGCTATGCTTAATGGAGATTTATGGTTTTATGGCCTTATTTTTCTGTTCTCCCTTATATATAGAAATATTCATGTTTGTCAGATTCATAGTAATAAAAAGGTTTACAATATATCAACTATCAAGTTCATTGTGTTAAATCTAGTAAGATGAAATTCAAGCAAGATAAATGTAAAGTCTTACATTTAGATTAAATATTGACTTCCTAAATGCACGATGGGGGAGGATTCCTGGTTAGGCAACAGTTATCTGCAAAAGGATCTGGAGAATTGCAAAATCAGTATTAGTCAGGTGTGTGATGTGTTAGCCAATAAAAGCCTTGGGCTACAGTGAGAGAAACGTGGTTTCCAGGAAATGAGAAGTGTTTATCCCAAGAGCACTGGCTGTGGAGTCAGAGGATCTTGAGTGATGTGTGCCCTCTTATGTGACCTTGGGCAAAGCTGAGCTCCTGGAACTGGAATTTTCTCATCCGGTGAATGAGGTGGTTGGACTGGATGGCCTTGAGGCCCCGTCCAGCTATAGAAGTACGATCTTTAGATCTTCCCTGGTCAGATCCTATCTGGAATACTGTATTTATTTTTGGGCAGCGCAGCTGGAGGATGAGATGGGCAGAGAGTATCTGAAAGGGGGCAGCCAAGATAGTGAAGGGACTTGAGTCTATGTCTTTTGAGAAAAACTGAAGAGATTTGGGCTTTCCTATTGCAGATGAGAAGAATTGGAGGTGAATGATTATTTCCAAGTATTTGAAGGTCATGTCAAAGAGGGGTTAGACTCGTACTATTTGGCTCCACAGGACCAAAAAAAAAAAAAAAGGAGTAATGAGTGGAAGATACAGAAAGGCAAATTTGGGTTTCTCGTGAGGAAAATCTTCTACTGATTAAAGCTGGACAAAAATTGAGTGGCTGTCTTGGGAGGTAGGGAGTCTCTTCTTCTTGGAGTTATTCAAGCAGAGAGGCTATATGATGACTTCCCAAGCGTATTATAATAAGGATTCTTTTGATTTATGGGTTGGACTAGATGGCCGTCAAGGTGCCTTCCAACACTGAAATTCTGTGGGTCTGTGACTTTGCCTGCTCAGTTTCCGTATCACTGCCGGTAGCGTCACTTTCCATCCTGTGTCCTGAGTCCTGAAGTATTCTTTCTAAACTTCTCCTTTCCTCTGCTACTTCTAGTCTCTATGCTGTAACCCTTGCCTTACTTCTGTATCATTCATGAAGTGTCTTTAGTCAGAGTTGATTACCAAACATATCAACCAATCATATTACGTTCCTGAGATCTCACTAATGGTAACCAGTGACCAATGAATCAAGTAAAAATTTCTGAATATTTGAATATCATGATGTTATACCAAATTCCCTTTCCCAACTGCCCTCATCCCTGCTGGTATCCAACCCTTGCTAAGACACACCTGCTTTTCATCTTTATTCAATCTTACCTCCTCCTTTTCCTCAGATCCTAAAGCTACAGCAGACCAACCTACCTACTCAAAATCTACCTCTAATAGATCTATCATAAAATGGCTAATCCAGGACTCACTTACCACCTTGTATGTTCTTGTATCACCTAGACTTTAGTGCATTTGTATACTTCCTATTTTGTGTGTCATCCTATTCAGTTTAAATACATGGACTGTGTTTTTTTTTTCTGTTTTCTTACCATGAGATTATGAATTCCTTATGAGCCTGTTTCCCTATCTGTAAAATGGATGATAAGTGTTGTTCTTCCCTCATAGAGTTATGAGAATTGTGAGATATGTATATAAAGCACTTTTCAAGTCTAAAATGCTATATAGATGGTACTTACTACTATTATAAGGTATTCCTTAAGCCCTTTTTTCTTTTTAAAATGAAGTCTCTGTGAATCATGTTAGGATAACAAGGTAAGAAGAAATGTCCAAAATAGGCAGCTCTTTCACTTCTCTTCTTATCTATTTTCTCAATTAGCACAGGATCCTGACTCTGCAAGAGGTGAATGTGGCTTTGGCTTGAGACCAGTACCTATGACTCTACATTAGTGGTATCAATTGTTTCTGATTCAGGAGATAGTACCAAACCATTTCTAAAGGAAAGGATATGCTTTATACTAGAACTTCCAAAAAAATTCAATTATTAACTGATGCCAGGATCCAATTAACTGCCTGGAAATAAAATTTGGCAGCTTGTTAAACCATCTCCTATAACTATACCCTTTTCTACAAAGTGAAAGATGATTTCTTCATTTACATGTTTTCTTTTGTTTGTGAAGTTGAGAGTAAAAGACGCCTGTGTGGGGGAAATGTGTGTGTGTGTGTGTGTGTGTGTGTGTGTGTGTGTGTGTGTGTGTGTGTGTGTGTGTACATGTATAAATACATATATATGATCTAGTCTCTGAAAGCAATCTAGTCAGTTGCTGAAGACCTTTGAAATGAAACTGCTTTCCAAAATTACCATTGATCTTTTAATTGCCAAATCTTATGGTCTTTTCCCAGTCCTGCTTGACCTCTCAATTGCATTCTTACACTTATAATCACTGTCTCCTCTGGGAGTTTCTGATATTGTGCTTATTCTCCTACCAATATGACCATTCTTTGACCATGCCTCCTCAGTCTCCTTTGCTGGCTTATTTTGCATATCTTGACCCCTGTCTGTGTCCCTCAAGGCTCTGTCCTGGGCCCTCTTCTCTCTCTACACTCTTTTACTTGCTTTATCAGCTCCATGCATTTAATTTTTTTTCATGCATTTAATTTTCAGCTGTATGCAAGATGGCTCAGAGATAAATATCCAGCTCTGGTTTCTCCCTTAAATTTCAGTCTCACATCACCAGCCTCCTATTGAATGTTTCAAACTGGATATCCTGAAAACATCTCAAACACAATATGTCCAAAACAGAATTTAATATCCACCCACCCATCCCCCACTTCAACTAGTTTCTCAAGATTGTAACTTTGGCATCATCCTTGACTCACTCTCCCTCAATTCACATTATCCATTCAATTGCCTCCTCTTAGTGTTTTTATGTCCCCAGCATCTCTTTCATCCAACTCCTTCTTAACATTCACATAGCCACAATTTTAGTTCAGGCCCTTATCACTTCAATTATTGCAGTAGCCTTCTAATTGGTCTCCCTACCTCGTCTTTCCTCCAGTCTTTCTTCCACAAAGTTGTCAAAGTAATTCTTCTTTAGCTCAGATCTGATCGTGTTACTTCCTGCTCAGTAAACTCCAGTGGCTCCCTGTAGCCTCTAGTCTAGGATCAAATATAAACTCTTCTCTTTTAGCATGAATGATGCAGCATGTCAAAGCTGATAGAGAAATGGCCTCAGAACTAGGAAGACCTGGGTTAAGTCTCTCCTCTAATGCTTTTAGTTGTGCAATCCTGAGCCAGCTCATTTATCTTTCAGTGTTCTGGGTAATTTTCTAAAAATGTAAGTTGTAGAGAAGGTGATAACCTGCATTGTATAGGAGGAACTTCCTTTGATTTGGAATCTTGTCTGCTTGCTTAGTTTGGGTATGCCTTATGTGATTCACCTGTCACTATAGCAATGTGGAGTAACATTTCTTAACTAATCCTTTCTAGTGTTTCATCTGGCTGGGCTGCCATAGTTCAGGAGTCTTATTATCAATCCCAAATTTGGTAATCAAGTTGAGAGAGAGCATAGTAGGGTGGATAGAGAGTCGACTCAGTGTTCATGCTGTTTTAAAGAAAAGAGGCCAAAAGTAAAGTCAGGAAGACAGTGACAATGTATTTGTTGGTTAGCAGGAAAAAAAAAACAATAGAACTACCATCTTCTTATTGTAAGAGGAGCGGATATAATTGGCTAGCTTTATTGTAAAAATGGTTTAGTAACTACCTGATAATTTTGAAATGAACTCATTACACTTAGAGTATATTTTGTTTCTGGATATGTCCTAGAGCCAGAATGCTAATTTTCTCTGGGTACTACTGCTGTGATATCCTCTGTTCCTCTGCTCCAGATTTTGACTGGACTTTCCCTGTTTGAGTTTCCAAGGGACTCTGGGCCTGACCCTCTGCTTGTGAGCTTTTTTTTTTTTCCCAGGATGAAGTAGGGAAGCAGAAAGTCAGCAATTGAATTTGAGAGCCATCAGAATACAAACAAAATGAGTGACTTAAGTTCAGTTTCTCAGTTAATATCACTTGACTAGGGTGCACCATATAATGGCAAGCTGTATGTTTTCTTTTTTTTTTTTCTCTTTTTTCTTTTTTCTTTTTAGGCAGTTGGGGTTAAGTGACTTGCCCAGGGTCACACAGCTAGTAAGTGTCAAGTGTCAAGTGTCCGGTCTGAGGCCAGATTTGAACTCGGGGGCTCCTGACTTCAGGGCCGGTGCTCTATCTGCTGCGCCACTTAACTGCCCTCCACACTGGATGTTTTCTGCAAATGCCCTTGAGACCTGAAATTCAGTGCTCTATCCTATATTTATATTTTTATTACAGATGAACAGGAGGCATTGAATTCGATCATGAAAGATCTGGTGGCTCTCCAGATGGGTCGACGTCACAGGCTGCCTGGCTTTGAGACCACGAAGAACAAAGATACTGGCCACCCAAATAGACAGGTAGGTGTGGCCCCAGCTGGATTTGATGACCTCTCTAGAGCAAGTTTGCCCTTGAGGTGGGAAATGTGTAGTGAAGTCAAGAACTTCTCTTTACTTTGATCCTCTTGACTAGAGTGATAATTGTCCATTTCTCTTTCCTCTTGACTCTTTACTCCCCAGGCTATTAAATGGTAAGTGATAATATCTGCCAGAAAAGGTTAAGTGTCTAAGACTTTTGAACTTTCAACCTTCAGAGCCCCCAATCATGAACCCTAAACATTGTGTCTCTGACTCCCACAGCATCTTTCTTGTTCATCTGTAAAGAGATTAGAATGAGTGGATGAACCAAAAATGACTATATTTGACATTCCATTTTGCTTTGTGGGTTAACTTGCAAATTGTTTATTCTAAATTGACTTTCTTTCCAAATCAGAATGTATCCAGTCAAACTAGTTTATTTAAAATTTTATAATGACACATGTGAAACTTGGGAAGGTAAATTTCCTGCCTAAACGTATATTCCAAAATCTTATTTAATATAATTTTTCCATTATCCTTACCATTTTCTCCCTCTCCTCTATTAGGGTAATTGAAAGTTGACTTCTTCTTTAAAAAGAGCTCCTATTATTTCGAAACGTTTAAACCTCACCTCCAATGTCTTCTGGCTATTACCTAGACATTTTCTACCTTAGAAAAGGAGTAATGAGGCGGATTTCTTCCCCTACAGGGCAGGTCAGATGTATGCCAAATAATCACCTTTTCATTTAACAAATATGTGAATTCATTGAATGTTGAGTAGAGATTTATTTAACTTTCTATGATTCCCTCAGACCTTTTCAGGAGTGCTTTTGGCTCCTGGGTTGGGTAGGCACAGGGCTGTAGATCATCTTCTCTGAGGACTGCTGAATATAATGTCTGCACAGTATTTTCTAGCTTTAGGAATATTAGGGAGTCCAGAATCCCATTAGCCCAGTTAATTATATAACTTGATAGGGGTGATTAGTTAGAATGTAATTTTATTTCCTTTATTACTTTTGAGCTTCTTTGGGACTAGGACTCACTTTTGTACTCTTTTTCCAAACCATTATAGTCATAGCCCTCTGTACTGTCTAATTGTTTGGGAATCTCCCCTTTTATGACTGGTGGGTGTTCAGAGTACCATTTGGGAGGAATTTTTTTCCAGAATAAGGCCCCGCTCCCAGACTTGGGCTTGGTGACCTCACTCCTTTTCTGATGTCCAGTTGTTTGGCACAAGGCTATCCAGATACTGGCCTTCTAAATAGATGAAATCAAATGGGAAACAGCTATTTAATGAAAAATAAAATTTTTCTTGAGTTCAAATGGCCAGGAGTTATTTTAGCATTTGGGTATAAGAGGGCCTGGGTACACCAGGGAAGAAGGACACATTTTAAGAAATGCATGTGATTAGAGCTAAGAAATCATTATGAGGCAAGCCCTCATCTAGCTTTACTAGGTCAGAGAGACCTGCTAGGTGTTTTTTTCTTCTTCTTCTTCTTCTTCAAGCTGGGTGAAGTCATTGGTTGTTTTTTCAGCTGCTTGTGAAGGCAGAAGGTCAGTAAAAAGACTGACTGATCCTGGTGGTTCCTGATGAAAAGGCATAATTAGGAAATAACCCTACTTCATGGTCTTAGCTGAGAGGCACCGTAGTTTATCTATATTACACTTTGTCTTTCATTTAGTTTACTTCGTTTTATGGAAGATACAATTGCATTAACAATAGGCTTTTTGTTTTTTACAGAAAAAACATAACAGCAGCAGCTCAGCCCACTTGAATAGCCCCACAATAACAACGAGCCCGTGTGCAGGGGCCAGTGAAGAAAAGAAAATTTCGGTAAGAAACCGTATTATACTTTAAAGTGAAATGAGTTTTTACAGAATGTTTGTGATATGATATTAAGGTTGGAAGAGTGATGAATTGATTTCCTCGATTGAATACTTTTTAAGGGTGATGAAGTTAGATTACTTACATCCTGTTTTTGTAGATAACACATATCACTTTGATGTTATTTAGTTATGTTGTTGTTGTTGAGTCATTTCAGTAATGTCCAACTCTTCATGACCCTATTTGAGGTTTTCTTGGCAAAGGAATTGGAGCAGTTTGCCATTTCCTTTTCCAGTTCATTTTCAGATGAGGAACTGAGGCAGACAGGGTTAAGTGACTTGCCCCAGGGTCATACAGCCAGTAAGTTTCTGAGGCCAAATTTTAACTCAGTTCCTCTTGACTCCAGGGCCAGTCCTTCATCCACTCTGCCACCTGGGTGCCCTATTCAATTATACAATCTCTAAAATTTTTCCTGAATTTAAAGAAGCTTAACTGGCAGAGGGAGACTAGAAATTTTAACAGAGAGGTATATTTATTTTGTACATTTAATGTATTTTATCTTTCACAAACTCATATTCTGATGCCTCCTTGTGGTGTGGAGGTGACCTTGTGTTCTCCAAATTATGCTAGTGGAAGACAAGCTCTGGAAGGTTCAGTCATGCTGGAAAGGCTTCTAGTCTAGTTCCTGCAATAAAGGGAATCTGCTTTCCTAGAGCCAGCCTAGTTAATTTTGAAGCAACTTGTCATCAGTAGACTTAGCTTCTTGGCGATGAATTTCTTGACCACAGTAACCCATCAAACAAAGAAAAATACAGAGCCTTCAGTTAAAAAAAAAAAAGTAAAAAAATGGCCCTTTCATTTCTGAATTGACAATCAAAGTATCAAAAAGGGAGGCAAAAGATACCAAGAGTTACACAGCTTTTAGACAGTTTATAAACTTTAACTTAGCTATTAGTGTAATAAACATGAAATCATTGTCCAATAACCAATGAGTAGGCCTGCTACTGGAGGAAATGAAATTAATCTCAGCCTTCTTGCTATGAATGAAACTAGATAAATGGTGGTAGCTAAATGAATTGATGAATCACAAATTCTCCTTGGAGAGGGAAATAAGAGAATTGGTAAAGTGGATTTAATTGTAGTCCCATAGGCAACAAGTAATATCATTTCATGGAATTGATCATCTCTGCTCATAAGTGTTTGCAAAAAGACCACTATGAAAATTATTGTTATGTACCAACTTCTATTACATATGGTGAAGTAATAGAAAAATTCTACTAAGATCTCAGTAAGATCTTCCATATTAAATTATCACGTACTTTGATTCTTGGTGACTTCAGTATAAAGGTGGAAAACAGGTGAGAGTGGCAAGAAATACATTGGAAAATATGGATTAGGAAAATATCAGGAGAGAAAGGCCAAAGATCTGTACTGTTCAATAACTACTTTATTAAAGAAAAGGAATTGGTAGGTATTGGACATAGGGGACACTGAATAACACTACAAAAATGAAAGTGATTATATTTTAACAGACAAGAAATGACTTGTTAATAAGGTGGGCTTCAGCCATCTGTGTATGGACTAGTAACTTAGTGCAGAGATCAAAGTGAGTAGAAAGAAAAATAAAATGAGAAAAAAGATGTGGCAATTAAAACACTTCAGTCTCTTTTCATACAGAAGTTTACCTTATATAAATCAACTGCCATACCAAGGAACCAAAAGAGCCTACAAAGCATATTAGTCAACCAACTCTTGACTTAGTTGAGAAAAAGCCGTGTGGAGAGTGATGGCAGTCAAATACTGCATAGATTTAGTGTATCATCTTGTTTGTACAACTTTGTGGAGAAGGATAATGGAAGACTGAGCATAAAACAGAGAGAAGCAGTAGAAGATTAAAAAAAAAAATTTAAAGAAAGCTTAGTGAGAGGCTCAATTAAGCAAAGACATCCCAGGGACATTTAAAATTTTTAAAAAGGCGGAGTGGGGAAACAAACCAAAAAAAAATAGAAAAGATCTTCAAAAGATTTTGTTTAACAAACTTTTCACCATCAGAAACAGAAAAATCATCACATTTGACTGTAACATCATAGTATTAGATATGTTTATAGAGGAGATAGAAATGCACTAAAGAGAACAAAGATGGGGAAAAGAAGCTAGACTAGGCCAAATGGACATAAAGGAAATTGTTGAAGAGTCCCTCTTTTCCTTTGGCTTAAAGCACCATCTTTTGCATGACTCTCTTCCTGATCTCACCCAAACTGCTGTAATGTTTTCCCTCCCAAATTACTATATATATAAACTACTTTTTACAAATATATGTGTGTATTTATTTACTTGATATTTATGCAGCTTATATATAAGTATGTGCTTGTTGTCTCCCACATTAGAATGTTAGCTCATGGATAGGGATTGTTTCACTCTTTGTACTTGTATCCCCTGCTCCTTAACACAGTGCTTGGCATGTGAGATCTTAAATACTTGTTGATTGATTGATAAATCTTTGCTATAGGTGATAAAATTGTGAGTGCTTTGAAGGATGGATTCCCAAAGGAGAAAAAGAAACTGAAGAAAAATGTGAGGTTTTATTAATATTGGGGGGGGGAAGCAACCAAGAAAATACCATGAATTACTGAGCTATGTAGCTGCTTTCCTCTCTATTAGATTTTTCACAGGAGGATGTTGTATTTGATCCTACAAGTGTTAGGGAACAGCTGGAACTTATTGAGTAGGGGGAGCTGACGTGATCAGACCTACACTTTAGGAAGACCACTCTGACAGTTAAATGGAGGATAGACTGGAGTGAGGAGAGACTTGTCAGTAAGATCAACCACCAGGCATCAGTGAAAAGGAAGAGTCCAGATATGAGGTGATGAAAGCATGTACCAGGCTCATAACAGTGTCAGAGGACAGAAAGAGGCATATGGAAGAGACTTTACAAAGGCAAAATATACAGACCTTGGCAACAGATTGGATATGGGGAGTATGAGAGAATGAAGAGTTGAGGATGGTAGTTAGGTTGTGAGCCTGGGAGAATGGAAGGATGGTGGTGCCCTTAATTGTAATAGTTCGGAGGAGGGAAAAATGAGTTCCGTTTTCTACATGTTCAGTTTTGTGATGTCCGATAGGCACTTGGAGGGGCCGTACTGACAGTCAGCATAGAGGTTAGGGCTGGATAAGTCGATTTGAGAATCATCAGCATAGAGATGATAACGGGATGAGATCACCAAATGAAATAGTGTGGGAGGAAAAGAGAAGAGGACCCAGAACAGAGTCCTGTGGGAACCCCACTGTTAGTGGTGTGATATAGATGAAGATCCAACAAAGGAGACTAAGAAGGAGCAGTTAGGTAGGAAGGAAAGCAGGAGAGAATTTTCCTGAAAACCTGGAGAGAAGAAAGTATCAGGGAAAAGACAATGATCGCCAGAGTCAGAGGCTGCAGAGAGGTCAAGGACAAGGATTGAGAAAAGGTTATTAGGTTTGGCAATTAAGACATCATTAGCAGTGCCTTGCATATAATAATTGTTCAAATATTTTTGAATAATTTAATTTAACTGAAGCACAGATATAGAAAAAGAGGAATATCCTATCTCTATTATACAGATCTTGTCCCTTTCTTGGTGAGTGATTAGACATGTTCTGATGTGTTCTTTCCTATTTAGTTATTTAACCCATCATCCCCTACCTTAGTATATATAGGGGCAGTTACACATTAATATTTTTTAGTGTTGTTGAGTAGGACAGGGTACGAGTACGTATGATGCCTGAGAGCTGATCCAACATTCTAGGAGCCTTCCTACCAAGCCCAGTAGTAATGCGTGTAGGAAAGAGGGCTCCTTCCCTTTTCTTTGGCTAGAGGGAGCCACTCTATAACTCCTGCTGCAGGCGCATAGAGGAGTAAGCTGGACTAATGTCAGTCCTCACTGGGAGAAACTCAAGCTCCAGGTCTTCCCCCATTTATTTCTAATATGTGGTGAATTTACAAAGGCAGTCAAGTTACCTGAGTTTAGTTCCTAATAAAAGCATATGCAGGATAAAAAAAAAAGTGATGAAGGGGTTAAATATTCTTTGCCTACAGTAGAGTGCTATCCTATAGTCCTTTTAGTCTGACCTTTGAGGCTTCTGGAGATAATAACCTAACTGCTAGAAATTCCAGTAGGAGACAAATCTATCCTCACTTCTGCCAATTTGTCTCCTCTTCATTGCCTTGGATTTTACTGTATGGGTAAGGACTAAAGCAGAAGAGATTACCTCTTAAGTTATTTGCCAACAGGAGGACTTGTTAGCTATCTTTCAAAGATTTGAAAGTAAACTTGTTCTGCTTGGCTCCAGAGGTCAAAGCTAGAAGTAATGGGTAAACATCATAGAAGCAGACTGAGATTTGATATAAGGAAAAACTTCTGACCAATTAGAGCTGTCCAGAAGTGGAATGGGCTGCCTCATGAGGTAGTAAAGCAGTGACTGAATAATCACTCTTAAGGGATAATGTAGGGAAGATACTTGTTTAGATACTGGTTAGACTAAATGCCCTCCAAGATCCCTTCCAGGGGCAGCTGGGTGGTGCAGTGGATAGAGCACTGGCCCTGAAGTCAGGAGGACCTGAGTTCAAATCTGGCCTCAGACCAAACACTTGACACTAGCTGTGTGACCCTGGGCAAGTCACTTAACCCCAATTGCCTAAAAATAAAAAAATAAATAAATAAAAGATCCCTTCCAAGTTATAAAATTTGTGATTCATTGAAGGAGATAGTTACTTATGCATTTAATTGGTGTTTCTTTCAAATTAATGAGAACACAGTAAAATTAAATTTTTATTTTTGGTGTTCTTTTTAAAAAATTTCTTTTGCTTTTCAGAAGTTCATCCTTGATGTAAGGCCCCCAACTTTTGTGGGAGACTCAAAAATGCACACTAGAGATAGTAGGGAGATGCAGAACCAGAAGGAGGGTGAGAGTAGATGGTGGCTTCCTAGGAAGAAAAAAGAGGAGATTTAAGCTTTTTTAGATCAGAAATAGCCTATGTTTTCATTTTGGAATTTTGCAAATAAAGTGACTAAAATATCCATACTTTTTGATCCAGAGAGTCTACTCCTAGGCATAAACCCCCAGAAGATCATTGATAAAAGAAAAGGACCCCCATAAAATCTATGAATGGTAGACAGTGATCTATTCAGTATTTCTCAGATTCTTTCCCCACTCCCCCCAACTCTCATCATTTTCCCAACTTTATGCTGAAATTTGGGGAATTCAAATGGCGTTTCTACTATAGCAGCTTCATGGCATTAGTGGAAGGTAGTCCTACTGATCATTTTTTTAATTGAGACAGTCATATTGCACATTTATCCTGACATTATTCTCTATTGTCACCAAATTAATTGTGAGAGGATGGGTAAGGAGCCTAAATTGTTGTACTATGGTCTCTCAGACTGAGCACCTCCCAGTTACATTTTGTCTCCTCTGTTAGATTGTGAGTTCCTAAATGGTGGAAAACATCTTTTGACTTTCTTGGTATCCTCAGCGCTTAGCGCATTGCCTGGCACATCATAGGTTCATAATAATTGCTTATTGACTGACAGTTCAGTTTAGCCAGGTTCTTTTGTTTTCATATTTATAGTACATTAGCACTATGCTACATGCTATGAGGAATAGAAAAGAAATGTAAGACATCATCTCAATATCTATGAACTCTTATGGCAAAATGAGACTCACAGGAAGCATTTAAACAACAACATAAGTTTGTATGTGATTGTGCCAAAGTATATGGTACAGATAAATAATGTTATGGGAAATCAGATTAGGAAGTAGGAAACTCAGTGGACTGGAGTCACTGGAAAAGCTGACATTGAAAAATGTTGGACTTCAACAGTTCTTGAAGGATTGATGGGATTTATAGAAGAGTCAGTGGATATTCTGGATGGGAGAGCATCTGAATGGGAGAACAAGAGCAAAGGCATAGAGAGAGAAGCAAGCAAGTGAAAGGAGGAGGTCAGGGCTGTAGGATTTCTCAACGTGGGCTGCTAGAAGTAGACTTGATAAATCTCAGGTAGATGTGCATGTGTTTTGAGTTGCTAGACTCAATAAGCAGTAAAGAATTTCAACTTTTTCCTGCAAATGTAACATAGAATAATGCTTAGCTTGTGACCTCACCCAGAAATGCATTCATTTTCCTTAATTATTGGAGGGGAGCTTTTTGGAAAAGATTTGAAATATGCTGATCTGTTCCAAAAATGGGAGCCAAATGAAATTCTAGACTCCCTAGGTTATAGGTTGTAGCAGAATGAACAAAATGACCTAGGCCTCAGAAGATACACAGTCACATTGATGTCATTCAAAGTCATACCTCAAATATGGCAAATTGGGTTGCTTGCCTCAGACCCCATGTATTAGGGGAAAGAAGAGGCAGCAGCAAAAGAAGCTGGTATTTGCATACAATAAGAATCTTCATGTCACCCAGCCTTTCTCACTGAGGCAACATGGATAGCTGAGATTGACTTCCTAACAATAATACCTCATTTTCCCATTTCATACATAGTCTCTCACTGCTGGCTTCCTTCCTTTCCAGACTTCATAAAGTTCTCCAGCTTGCCTCATCAGTCTCTGCCTCTGCTTCTGTCACAATCTCACTTAAGAGCAATTTTCCATCAACTTTTCCACAAACTCTTCTAGAAAGAGTGGTGATTCTGAGATTTTTCCTTTTTCTCAGTTTCTTCCATTTAAGCTTTACATACATTGGTAGATGAGCTAAGCTTCTGCTGGCTGTTCTGCATCCCCACCTGGAAGACACTCCCTCCTTGCTTCTGCCTCATAGAATCCCTTTCTTCATTTAGGATTTAGCTTAAGCATCATCTTGTGCATGAAGCTTTTGCTGATCCTCTACCTGCTAATGCCATCCTTCCTGAGGAGTACCATGTATTTAACTGTTTTGTACATGTTTGTATTTATTTAATTTATATTATATGTGTGTATGTACTTGTCTTTTCCTTTAGACTATAAGCTCCTTGTGAGTAGACATTTCGTTCTTCATGCTTTATATCCCCAATGCTTAGCACAATACCTGGAACATGGTAGTTGCTTAATAAATAAGTATTTGTTGATTTAGTTGCTTGTTTGACTCTTGAATTGCTGCTACAGTACTTATATTTGTGCACTAAGGGAAAAAAGAGAGCTGCTTTAAGTTTGACATCCAGATTAAATATTATCATTACTATAAGGAGTGATACTGCAGGGATGACATAAAGAAGAAAACTTCTTTATTTAGGAGATCTGCTATCTTCTGTTAGCTCTTTTGGGAGTGTCAGTCTCTCTTGACATTGCTTCACAGTCAGCTAATCCCAAACTTCTCCTGTACTTTGAAGGTACAGTTCCTCTTAGTTCTGGGGAAGGAACCCTTAATATAACCACACTTTGCCTCTCCACTCCCTTTTTTACCACTCAACTGTACATTTTACTTCCTTCACATTTACTTAGATTTCTAGACCATCTTCTCTCTAAGCTTACCTCATTCCTCTTTTTCCCCACACATTTTCCATTCCAATGTTTACGTGGAATATAGTAGGTGCCTGATAAATGCTTGCTTGCTTGCTTGATCCTGTCTACTTACTCTCTTCATACCCTGATAATCTTCCTTTCCTCTTTGTTTTCCTATATATCTCATTTTGTTTTAATCACCTTAGAATTCCCTTAAGATGCTTGTTTCCCATTTATGATACTTCCTCCTTTGTTGTCTACTGCTGTTACTATTGTTTATGTTTTCTGTTCTGATAATGACAACTAGAATCATTTTAATGAATGTTTGTTAAGTATCTATTATGTGTAAGGTACTGTTCTTAGACACTTGAGTTAGAGATAAAAATGGAAGTCACAGGATACAGTTAAGTGTTAGAAAAGGGAGGAAATTCTACCTAAGCTAATTTACTTATTTAGTGCCATAGCAACCAAACTACCAAAAATTATTTTATGGAGCTAGAAAAAATAATAACAAGATTCATTTGGAAGAACAAAAGGTCCAGAATATCAAGGGAACTAATGAAAAGAAATGCTAGGGAAGGTGGTCTAGCCGTTCCAGATCTTAAATTGTATTATAAAACAGCAATCATCAAAACTACTTGGTACCAGCTGAGAAATTGAGTGGTGGATCAGTGAAATAGGTTAGGTACATAAGACAGTAATCTACTCTTTGATAAACCCAAAGACTCCAGCTTCTGGAATAAGAACTCTCTATTTAACAAAAACTGCTGAGAAAACTGGAAAATAGTAGGGCAGAAACTAGAATTCTAGGTATAGGGGACAAACATCATAAATGTGAATAGGTAGCAGATGACCTGTTGAATTCTGGAAATAGTTTAATTGGAAGGAAGAAAGGAAATAAGCATGTATTAAGTACTGCGCTAAGCACTTTACAAATACTGTCTTATTTGATCCTCACAATAACCCTGAGAGGTAGGTGCTATTATTATGTCCATGACTTGGCCAGGGTCGTCATATAGTAGGTGCCTGAGGATGGATTTGAACTCTGATGTTCCAGGACCATTGTTTCTTAACTCAAACAGAGACTATATAAAGAGGGAGCTGTGAGTGACCTAGCCCTGGGAAGTCAGAAGATAGAGTTTGACATTTGACCCTAGCAAGTCAGTTAACCTCTTTGGGCCTTAGTTTCTTCATCTCTAAAATGAGTTATTTAAGCTAGGTAATTCCTAAGGTCCCTTCCAACTCCGATAGTCTGTCATTTCACTATGAAGGCTATCTTTAATGTTAATTTTAACCATATCTCACCCATGTGAAGATGTTAGAAGGGGAAAAAGTGTGCAGCATGATCTGATCTCATGCCTTGTCCCTTTAAAGTCATGTCAGCTGTTCACCCCAGGTGAATACTGGAGGCTAGACTGCCATGGTTCCATAGGGAAGGGCATGGAAACTGCTATAAGAGAAATTATTCTTGCTGGGAGGTAATATGGCAGGGATAATATCTGTCATCACCTGGAGGAACAAAGGGTGCATGCCTATAGTACTGCCATGAATGCAGGAAGGGAGCATCATGGGCACAACAGTAGATAGGCACATCATTCCAAGTAGTCCTGCTTTTAAGGATCACAGCTTTTAGATTAGCTCAGAGCTGGTAGTCTAGAGTGTTGGAAAGAGAATGAAATATCTCTGTATGGACAGAAAAGCCAAAATACTTGTCGAAGTGGACTTGTCCAGCTATGCCAAAGATCTGATCAGGACTTTTCTTGTGAGTATGCCTGTATGTGTATTCCGGCAAATACATACTTTGAAAATCACCTGCCAAAGTGATCATCCCTAACCTGTCTTTCTCCTTTCCTTGGCAGAGTGACGTAAGGATCAAGTTTGAGCACAGTGGGGAAAGGCGGTAAGTGTCCCTCCTCCCTGGTAATGAGACACAGATTTGGTGAAGCTCTTAGAACGTGGACTGCTTAGGGAAGTGAGTCTTCCCGCAGTGGGTGGTCTCTGAGTCCAGGAAGGCAAGGCCCAGAAGAGTAATGGCTATACAACAGGCTTTCCAAGAGATCCTCCATTCCTGATCTGGGAACTAGAAAAGATTTTTACTGCTATATTTTTACTTATATTCTGCTATGGTGAAATCTGGACCCAAGATCGCACTGTTCTTTTGTTGGTAGTAATGATTGAGGAGAAAGTCAAGACAAAGGCTTTGCTCAGTCTTGTGTGCATCCTGCCTTCATCATCTTCTTAGGCCTCACTGCCTGAGAAGATAAGAGACAGCAAGAGTATGCCATGTGACAGGACCATTCCCACCACTGATTCAAAAGGTCAGGGTAGTTCACTCCACGGCATGGACCTGTAAGCACACAGAGTTCCCTAATACACCAATATTGTCAGTCATCGGAGGCTTCATAGATGTAACAAGGAGACAGAAAGATTTCCTCTCTTTTCTCTAGATGTGAGAACCTTTTAGTGACAGTAGAATAGAAAGCTGTCAGACTTCTTTGGGCAGATGGGAGAAAATGAACTTTTTTCACCTCCAGTAGGAAATACCTTTTCTCTACCACTTTTATTTCAGTTGCCTTTCATCATGAGATAAGGAAATGGTTTCTAGTGGTAAGAAACAGAAATGACCTTTTCTGAAATTAAATTTTTCTAATGCTGTTTTGTGGGTGCCAGAAAGTTCAGGTCCCAGTACTGTTAGGTATCTTTCTCTTTTCATATGTTTCTCCCTCTCGTTCCCTTTCTACCTCTCCCTATCCTTCTCCTTCTTTTTCTCTCTGCCCCTCCCCTTCTTATCTCACTCTTTCCCTTCCCCCTCTTTCTCTCTCTCCCTCCCTTCCTTCCCCCTCCTTCTGAGCTGTTCTTTTTTTCTGACTGACTTTTTTCCACCACCCACCGCTCCTCCCCAGCAAAGCTCTTTGTACCTTTGAAGAGGCTAGCTGAATCTCTGGGAATAGCATTTCTCTTGGTGTAAAAGACTTGTCAGAGCCACACAATCTACTCTTGACCTGTGTAATGTAGTCATTGGTGGTTCTTTGCCTACTAGCTATCTCCAGTGCACTTTGAAAACTGCCTTGTGCATTCTTGGTACAGTTTCACTTCTTTTCCTCCCAAAATTCAAGAGAAACAACTTTGAGTGCATGTGACTCCATAAGGATGGTGGACCAGTTAGTTCCTGTAAAAAACACATGGAACTGTAAGCTCTGGAAAAGGAGATGTATGACTTATTTTAAGAACAACTCAGTCACTAACCTGAAGCATGGTTGCTCTCTGATCTTAGTGTTGTAGCAGCTATTACAGAGTGAAAATATGGCAACCATTTAGCCTATGCTTGAGAAAGGCATGGTCATTGTTTCTTACCAGTCTGCTGTCTTAATGCCCCGATACCATGTTAGGGTTTCAGTGCTATTCTCAGATTTGTAAAGACAACAAACCCACTTAACTATGTTCTGAACTCAGCCCCAGTGTTTGATCTCAGTGCTGTTTGTTAATAGCTCAGAGGTTAATTTGTCACCCTAACATTATTGCTTTTTACACTTCTGTCCCAAAGTAGTGTTTGAGAGAGCTTGGAACAGAAAAGATTTTTCAGAAGAAAAGTTGAATAAAAAGCTCGGTTGTATGTGAGTCTAATTATGCAGTTAACGCTTGCGTGAATTCCTTATTCCCAAAGTGGTATGCAGTTACAGTGAGCAGACTTGAACTGAGAAAGTGAATGTGTGTTTTGGTATCAAAGAAACTGCCAGGTCTAACCACAGATATTTAAGGTGGTCAGGCAGGAATGGACTTCTGTCCTGAATGGCAGGTATTTAGTGTCATGTTTTTAAAAACTAACATACTCTTTGTATGGAGCTGTTTGTAGGAGCAATGGCATTTCAGTGCTTGTGTATAGTATATATGTTTGAAGCCTTTATACAGAGCTTAAGTACACCTTTGCCAAGTTCAAACTACCTTATGCCAAAAGACTTTAGTCTCATGTATTGATTTCTTTAAAAAACACATTTTTATTGATACTGTTTGTTTTTATATCACCTACACTGCTCCTCCTCCACCCCCCTGCCATCTTTGATAATGAAAAATTAAAAAAAAAAGAAAGAGCCATAGGGCAAAACTAACCAACCCATCCAAAAATCTGAAATTATATGTAATATTCCACACCCACAGAGCAGAGAGAGGCACCTTCCCATATTGCTTTGTTGGGACCAATCTTGGTCATTATAATTTCACATTGTTCAGTTTCATTAGTTTATATTGTTGTAGTCATTTTTCTGCTTTTTATTTCAGTTATAATTATAAGTTCTGCAGCTTTTTTTGATCTACCTCAGTCTAGATCTCAGATTGGCTGAGAGAAAGAGACAGGGAAGGGTGATTTTGTACCCCCTATCCCCAATTTGCCTAGGGGCTTTTTCTTTAATGTTAGAGGTACTCAGAATGTGAAAATGTACCTTCAAGTAAATTTTATTGGAAACTTAGTCTCTAATAGCAACAATAATACTTTAAGCTAACATGATAGGCTTTAAGGACAGTCCCCAAAGTTCTGACCTCCTAGTACCATCAGCCTTCCCAGGAAAGCTAAAGAAAATATTGCTGCTTAAGAGTATTGATCAGATGTCTAGCCTTTCTATTGATATTCCCAAGGCAGAAGGAATGTCTGTAGTGGTTAACAGGAAGCCTGAGAATAACATTCTTAATTGTAATAATCAAACTTAATGAAGAATTGAGAAAATATACCTGCCTTTCCTCTCTGCAGAAATGGAGGAGGGGGAACTATAAGTGTAGAATATTTTATATACTTTCAGGCACTACTGATGCATTGATTGGTGTTGCTGAACTGCTTTTTTCCTTTTCTCTTTCAATCTTTGTTATAGGGGATGGATCACTAGGTAGGGAATGGGAGAGGGATAAATTTTGAAATGAAAGTGATATAAGAACAAGGTTTAAAAAGACTTTTCAAAGACTAATGTAACTACTGCTCTTCTTGTAGTTGAATCATATTAGCAGTGTCAGCTACAGAAATGAAGGAAAGTTACTCTTGAAAGGGAAGTTTAAGGAAATTTGTATTGCTTAGAAGTCTAGCCTAGGATTCTCTTCTGAACATCAGATTACTCAAATGACCGTCACAGGCATCTATGGAAAGGACAGTGGAAAGGGCCTTTCAGGTCATAGAACTGACTCATTTAGTCAGTCTTTCCCATTCTTACCCACATCTTCCCCTTCTTGATTTCCTATGGTATTTGTGCCATTGTTTTTTAGGCTTCAAAGTGTGAATGGTGTGATTAGACTTGGTGTTGGCAAATTTGGGTCCGACCTTAGTGGCTGGTGTAGATAATCCAGAAACTGGAGTCTTACTACAGTTCAACAAGCTTTTCAGCTGTAACAGTGCCCATATATACCCACTGGTCAGCCTAAGGCATGGGTGAACACATCTGTGAGAAGTGGGAGGGAAAATTGAAAAAAAGGGAGAAAAAAATAATTATTTATCCTTCAGTCTCTCAAACATATAACTTATTGGTTCTTTTTCTGCTTTTCAGAATTATACCATTTAGCCGCCCTGTGAGATATGAAGATGTGGAACAGAAGGTGAAGACAGCATTTGGGCAACCTCTAGTTCTCCATTATATGAATAATGAGGTAAGAGAATAGAATGATATAGCACTGAGGCCAAGATGAGGACAGCTACCCATCTCCTTCTTCCTCCTTGTTCAGATGAGGACTTTTTTTTCTAGTTTTTCCCTTTCACATCTGTATTTTTCCTTCTTTGGAATCCATCTTCATAGCTCTCACAGCAACTTGATTTCTGCTCTTTCCTCTAGGGGAGAAAATACAAGCATCTCCATTTCTCTCCTTCCTGTTCACAGTGGGTAGCTCTGACTCCCATGGTGTGATCAAGGTCCTCTGAGTCTCCTTTAAGCTGTGTGAGGGGATCTCCATTCTTTCCAGCTTTGTGCACTGCTTCCAAGAGGAAAGGTGGGCTCAGTGTTGGGGACAGGGCAGCTTGTTGGGTAGAATCCTCATCTGAGAATCAGAAACTCAGGTTTCTTTGCCTGGTGGAACTTCAATTTTTGATTACCCACAAGTAAATTTTCTGTATTGTAGTTTGTTTCAAATCTTGGTTTCAAGATTTTGTTGAAAATTAGCACCTATTCAACTTTGTGACCTTAACCTTTCAAACTCTCCTTTATTTACTTTTACTTTAGGTTTAGGGGCTTGGGGGGGAGGTCCCTCTTGGGATTTATGCTACTTTTGACCTTTTAATTTCTTCCCTTCAGGGAAGATTTGAAAAATGGCAACTGGGTTTTGGTTGGTGCATTGTATAACTAAATAAGCTATTCATAACAGTTTTGGGGTTATCTGTGGTACAGAGTCTCTGAGTGCCTGCATGCTAAAAAGGTGAAACTGAGAAAAAAGGTATTTATTTCCAACATGGAGTGGAAACTTGCTGAATTCTTCTTTTCTATGGCTCTGACATATGCAAATATTGTGCTTGTGAAGTATAAGCTTTGGATGGCCCTCCCAAGGTGGAAAACTCTTATGTCTGTGTCTGGTGGCAGATTCTGCCTGCTGCCTAAGGGCCAACTAGCTAGTCTCCAAATGGAGAGGCTCCTCACCGAATTGGTCATGGGGAATAGGATTTTTCAGAATTTGCCAATCATAGCAACTCTCACTCTTCTAAGTCATAGAGCAGCTGCTATTTTAGTCAATGGAGGGAGAATCCACACCAGCAAAATCACAGATCTAGTTAGGTACTGAAATACAGAGCAGAGAGCTTATAAGAGTTGAGCAGGGAGTCAACTTTATAGTTCCTCTTGAAGAATCTTTTCACGTTATCAGTCAAGTATTTATTAAACAACTACTGGGGCAGCTAGGTGGCGCAGTGGATAGAGCATCAGCCCTGAAGTCAGGAGGACCTGAGTTCAAATGCGACCTCAGACCATTTGACACTTACTAGCTGTGTGACCCTGGGCAAGCCAGTCACTTAAACTCAGTTACCTAAAAATAAATTAATTAATTAAATAAACAACTACTATATCCCATTCAGGATACAAATTAAAAAATGAAATAGTCCCTGCCCTCAGGGAACATAAAAGTGTTTTGAATATACAGCAGCCTCATTATTTTGTTTGAAATATATTTTCACTTTCTATGGTAGTTTGGGCCTGTAACCTGGGGCAAGGGATAATATTTTAAGTTTGAAGCCTAAATATTTCCTTTTGGGTTTTTTTTTTTAATGTGAGGCAGTTGGGGTTAAGTGACTTGCCCAGGTAGTGAGTATCATGTGTCTGAGGCTGGATTTGAACTCAGGTCCTCCTGACCCCATGGGCCATTGCTCTATCCACTGTGCCACCTAGCTGCCCCGAAGCCTAAATATTTCTTGTTCATATTATAACATCAGAAATTGGATATATTGCCTTGTAATTCATGAAAATTAGGAATGTCGAACTTTCCATTTTCTGGTTGGACTTAAGAAGTATAGAAAATATGAAAAACATAATGAAATCTATTTTGTTTTATTTATTTGTTTGTTTGTTTGTTTTGTTTGTTTATAGTGAGGCAATCGGGGTTAAGTGACTTGCCCAAGGTCACACAGCTAATACATGTCAAATGTTTGGTTTGAGGCCGGATTTGAACTCAGGTCCTCCTAACTTCAGGGCCGGTGCTCTATCCACTCTGCCACCTAGCTGCCCACTGTGCCACCTGTGCCCCTATGAAATCTATTTTGGAATAGACTCCTTCTAGATGGTGAAATTAGTAAGAGAATGAATATTTAATTTAAACAAACAGAATTTGAGTCAAGATGGGAAAAATCCAGACTTCAGATTAAATATTTAAAGTATCAAAATATATACTGAGGTCTTTTTTTTTTTCAGCTGAATATGCCACATATACAGTTTTTGGGTAACCCATGGTATACGGTGGCTGATTATGTGTATACATGTAAAAAAAAAGATGAAACTAGAGAGGAACAGTCAAGGAAGGGAGGGATAATGTGGTAATAAGGGTGCATCAGGAGAAAAAATACAGAGAGTTCACAGAAAGTGAATGTTCTACATCAGACCTCTAAGGAAAGAAGAGGAGACTTCTCCCCAATCAGTCCTCACTGACTCCAGAGAAGAAAGAACCCTGTGATCCTTGTTAATCTCTCTTACTTAAAGTCAGCTAATATGCTATTAATGAAGACTAGTTTTAGATAATAAAGGCATTCCAAAAAGTGATATATTATTTTCTTTTTCAATCCACATTGACTAAAATACTCTGTATTTCCAAAATTTCTATTTGGAATTGCATTTCTTGGTAATGTTTTTCAGATAACAAAGTGAATTTTTAGAATAATAACCATACCTATATTCAGATTTGTGTATAGAAAGACATTTTGAAGCCAAACATAAACTATGTTTAGATGAACAATTCAGATTGTCCATCATTTGGATGAGATTCCTCTCACTCCATTTATGTGAATGAGTGAAAGTTGACCATGGTTTTCACTTTCATTTTTTAGATCCCTTCACCCTCTTATTTCTTTTCCTTCAGAGCTGTTTTTAAGCCCCCTAGTATAGCCCTAAGTATAAAAATCTCCAATTTGGTGCCCATGCAGCAAGTTTTTGTTTTGTTTTGCAGCATAGATTCTCTTATTCCTGAGTGTATCCTTTCTCATCTTTTCTTGATATATTGGGAACTAAAGAATTTGCTGTGGATATGCAAGATCTTACCTCTACAGATCCTACCAAAGCGTTTATAAGAATCATTTAATACTTGGTCTATGATTTTTTGTTGTTGTATGATTTTTTTTCAAGGAAATCGAAAGAAGGGATTGAAAACCTAAAGTCCATTGCTCATATTACATAAGACTTCTTCCCTAAGCCTTGGGATATTAATCTTGCTGTGCTGTATGACTTTACATTCCAGGTTGAATAGCAATTTCTACTTTCTTAGATCCCTTCCTGATTTTAATAATAACTGATACTTATATGATGCCTTATGTTTATAAAGCTCTTTTCTCACAATAACCCCTTGAGTAGATATTACAAATATAATTATCCGTGTTTTATATCTGAAGGCCACAGAGGTTAAGTGTCTTGCCCCTGCTCCTGTTCATAGAGTTAACAATGTGTTGGAGCTCAGTTTTGAAATCAGATCTTCTGACTCCAAGTCTAGTACTTTTCCAAGTCTAGTACAATGGTACCACATTGCCTCTCTAATGCTTCTAGTATTGTTAGCAAAACTGTTGAACCATTTAAGTAGTTTCCAAGTTCTATCTTAGTAGTAGTACAAATAGTCCTGTTTGTTTTGGATTAAACAGTGCATTTGGAAAGAAAACATCCTTGATAAATACCTTTGGGACTCCCTTTTAGATATTTTAGGATCTAGGGGTGTCCAGAGACATGGTCAGTCCCTAAAATTGAATTGAATTTGTATTTATTTTTGCAAGATTTAAATATGAAACATCTTTATGGACTTATATATTCTATTATTTTATTTTTGCATATCTTATGTTACAGCTCTCCATCCTGCTGAAAAATCAAGATGATCTTGATAAAGCAATTGACCTTTTGGATAGAAGCTCCAGTATGAAAAGCCTTAGAATATTGCTGCTGTCCCAGGATAGAAACCATGTAAGTAACTGCTAATCTGTCCTATTCTAGCAAGTAAGAAGAGGAACTGATTCCTGTATGAAGGCTTGCTATACTTTCTTAAAAGAATTATGCATAGTTTAGCCACTTTTTTATTTTTTTGTGAGGCAGTCGGGGTTAAGTGACTTGCCCAAGGTCACACAGCTAGTACGTGTCAAGTGTTTGGTCTGAGGCCGGATTTGAACTCAGGTCCTCCTGACTTCAGGGCTGGTGCTCTATCCACTGCGCCACCTAGCTGCCCCATAGCCACTTTTTTAAAGAAAGAACATGAAAGAAACCCAGCCCATCATCTGTTGTGTCAGTCCCCACTGTTGTGGGAACTATCTGGGTAGAATTATGAATTTTTATTCCTAAATGGGGAACTCATCTTGTTTGCAGGATTTGCTTGGAAATCTTTTGATTTCATTGAGAAGCCAGAATGTAACTACCTGACTTTTGACTGGTAGGGTCAGGGAAGAGACCTAACCTCCTTGGCTCTTGGCTACAGGTAGCTCTTAAAGTTTTTCATTCATTGATCAATTGTTTGTTAAGCATCTATTTTTGTAGCACTTTAGTAAGTGCTGTATTTTCCTTTTCTGAGAATAGCAGTCTTCAATGTGCTCTGCAACTTTTTCTAAAATGCAAATATAAGCTATAGTGGCATCTGGGTGAGTTTCCTAATCAGTACAGGAAAAGAAGAGAAAGGAAGCTATTTACTCTTAGTGACTTTACTATTAAACTCATGCCTCCCCACCATCCTCCATATTTCTCTTGTCTCCTTTCTATTCATGATAGCATGAAATGACAAATGTAGATTGTCTTCCCCTTCAAAGTGGAAGAATCAAAGGGCACTTTTTTCCAGGAAATTTTTGGATGTTTTTCTTTTGTTGCAATGGCAAGTGGGACAGAAGGGATTATATAGCATGTGTGAGGAAGGAACAGACTTTACATTAAAGGAAAAAATGTCCTCTCTCTCTTGTTGGTCAGGTTTGAAAGATCCTGAGCAATATGAAAAATGTAGCACTATTTGCATCTAGCACAGGTTGTCTACAATTTGAATTTGGAAGGTTCTCTACCTTCAACTCCCATAGCTCTTCAGCAGCTCTGCCCTTCCCTTGGGGCATGTGCAGGAAAGAAACTCTCCCTTCTGTTCAATGGAAAAAAGCCCGAAAACCTGTCTGACCTCTTGCGAATAGCCCAGCTGCTGCCTCCCTAAATGGCAGACAGTTTTTATTAGCGGTCAGAAGCCAGGGAATGTGCCTTTCCTTAAAGGTCTGTATTGTGGCACACGTTTTGTTGGACTGCATCCTGTCTAAGACCTGTTCTTTAATCACTGGTTGCTCTGCCAGATTTTTTTTTTTTGAAGCCCAGTTAGAGAGGACTTATTGGCATTATTTCTTTTACTTGTAAGGGGCAGAAAGTAGTAGACAGCTGATGTTGGATAGCATCATTTGTAGACTTTCCTACCCACCTTAACTTTGGGGCAAGGTTTAGGTAATAGGAAGCTTACCCTAAGTATTTATTACAAACACGAATGGTGGGGTTGAATTGCTGTGCCTCATTGCATTGAGGCAGAGGGTACTACAGGTAAAAGTATGTCCTTTTCTGTTTAACTCCTTTATTCAAGTGATTCACCTGCTAAAATAACAAATAGTGGTTTCTTTTTTACTTATCACATCAAATCTAAACTCAGCCCAGCATCCAAGGCCCTCCAGCTATTGTTGTTCTGGGCTCTCTAAAACCTCATCTTTCAGTATACTCCAACATGGCTCTTTTGATGTAACCAGACTGGTTTCTTTACAAATCCCTGCTTGTCCTCCCCTCTGCACTGCTGTTTATGCCTTTCGTCTCCTGAAATGCCCTCTCTTCTCCTGTCTACCCACGTTACTTTCTTCAAGTGCCAGCACTTAAAATTCCACTCTCTCAAGATGCTATTTCTGGTTGGAGAATGGATGATCACTTGTCATTAATATTGTAGATGGAATTCTGCGTCAAGTACTAGATGGTTTCTGAGGTTCCTTCCAACTTTGAGATTCTGTGATTCTGACTAACTCTTAACTCTTCTCTGATTATTCCCTTATTCTGTGCCTTCTCAGTCTTTGTGTACTTAGGGGTTCCTTAATAATTGTTCTCAAATTGTTTTGCCAAATGTACGTTTTGCCTCATCAATGAACTGCAAGCTCTGTGAAGGCAGAAATTATATCTTTGTATTCCCTCATCCTCTCCTTCCTCCTTTTCCTTTGCCCAGTACATTGGACATACCCAAGAAATGTTTGATGAATTGTGAGGAAAGTCTAGATATCTCATCCAAAATACCTTTTCCTTGTGAGAGAAGATGAAGTGCAAGGGTAGTCTAATGATCAGAGGCCTAAACTGTGAATAAGCCCATTTAGTTATTTTCAACCCTACCACTGATGGAAATGCATGTGTCATTTTATCATTCTGTGTCAGTTTTCTCGTTCGTCAATCGTAAAAGTATTTTCTACTTAATTATTATTGAATCTTAATGTTACAATAAATTTAAAACAGGTTTTTTTTGGGGGGGGGGGGGGAGGCAGTAGGGGTTAAGTGACTTGCCCAGGGTTACACAGCTAGTAAGTGTCAAGTGTCTGAGATAAGATTTGAACTCAGATCCTCCTGCTTCCAAGGCCGGACCTCTATACACTGTGCCACCTAGCTGACCCAAAAGAGGATTTCTATATAAGATACCACCCTATGTAAGATACATACGAAGTAGACACTGTTTCTTTCCTTTGCAAATTTGCCTGTAAGATCAACCTTAATAATGAGATTTTGCTTTTGGAATTTCATCAGCTGGGCCTACAAATAAGTCTGTCATTACACAGCAGTGACTTTATCCAAAGTTTGGAATATTGTAGCAGCCTTCTCAGTATCCTTTATTTACTTGCTGTCTTAATGTTCCTCTACCTACTGATAATCCTTGCATCATCTCTTCCATTCCTACAGTGTGCCCCCAACCTTAAAAAGTTATTACTGGATCTGTCAGTTATTACTCTGTGATTCTTCTCCTATTCATATTGTTATTCTGATGTGCTGTGTCTTCCCTCTGCCCCAAATTCTTTTCTTATTCTCTCTTTAGTTTTCTTCAATCTGGCTTCTGGCTTTACCATTGTATTTAAATTGCCTCCTCAGAGGTAAATAGCAGCTCACTTATGGACAGGTCCCAGGGCCTCTATTTCTCTCCTGTGCTTTCTGGGATTAAACATCCTTTTGGTATTGGAGTCCCTCTCTGTCTCCAGCATCTACTGCCCTGCCAAATCATGGTTATTATGTTACCTTTCTAATTGAACTTTAGGAATTTCCTTCACTTGTTCCCTTCTCCTCCTCCCCTCAACTTTGTTGTTCGTCTGCTTCTTTCTTAGGTCTTTTCCTCTTCTACTGGCTTCCTCACCTATTGGCTCCATTCAAATGGCTACTTCTATTTCCTGTATCCATAAGACTCTCAAATTTATCTTTATGTCTCTTTCTTTTTCCTTTTTCCCTTTTCCCAGATCTCTTAACTATCTTCAAGATTTCCATTGCCTGATAGTTTGGTGCTATTATAAACTCAATTTGATCAAAGCTAATCTACTCTTTATAGCTAAGCCTTTACTACTTTACTACTTCCCCATCATTATAGATGCCAACACAATCATACCTATTCCCCAAGTCTAAAAACTTGGACTTACCCATTGTGGCATTTCTTTATGTTCTTAAGTCCCCACATGCAAATAATCTTAAATCCAACCCTTTCTTTGCTGCATAAATTGAATTTGATTTTCCTCTAAAGAATGAGGTGATAGAACCACAGAAGCTAGTGGGTAAGAGATTATTCAGTAAGGTTCAGAGAAATAGGAAAAGAGTAATAGGAGCAGGTGATTCCTTGCTCAGTGTACTGAGGCAGCCATTTGTTGACTTGAGAACAATACCAGAAAGCTCTGTTGTTTTCTTGAGAGATGTATCCAAAAATCTAACAAAGAACCTTTCAAGATTTATGAAAACAGCTGACAACTACCCACTTCTGGTTATTCATGTTGGTACAAATGACATAGAAGGAACCCCAAAATTATTGCTAATAATTATCAAACCTTGGGCGATAAACTTAAAGATCATATGGGCATGGGTTGTTTTTCCTCACTGTTGCCTACCAAAGGAAAGGGATGCAGGAGAGACAAATTAATTTGGGAAGTGAAGTATTGGCAAAAAAAGTGGTACCTGAGAATAGGATTTGGATTTCTGTATCACATCTTACAATGTAGGGATGACAGGTTCCCCACCAGATATGGAGTATGCCTGGCGTAGGCTAGTAAGAGTGTTTTTGCTAGGTATTTTGCAAATCTGATCAAAAAGGAATTAAACTAGAAAGGATGAGGAAATAAGAAAACTGCTTATATATATTTCCCAAATTAAATATTGTAGAGATTAAAAGAAAGAAGAATAACAGCTGAAGTACCCAGAAATTCATGAAAGACAGTATCCAAAAAAAAATTATGATACTGACCATGGCCTCCAGTGTATATACACAAATGCCCAATGTTTTGTCAACAGACAAGAAACTAGATATTCTAATGCAAGGAAGCAAATTTGACCTCACAGGTTATCCATGAGACTTGATGGGGTAAAATCCACGCCTAAACCATGACTTTGGATGGATATGCCTTATATAAAAGAAATTTATATAGGGGCAAATTCCCTAAGAATCTCACCTGCTCCTATTGGTGTTAGAATAAACCTTGCCACCTTGACTAAAAGAAAGCTTGAGTGCTTGAATTCTTTCCGGGCAGACTCACCTGTACCCTGACATTTTGGTGTTCCCAGCAACCCCAAACCACATCATATTTTGGTGACCCTGTTAGAGGGAATTGCCTGACCCCCTCAAGCCCTCCTGCAGTCAAGACTGGAAGATTTTTGTCTTCCAGACTACAGGCCATTCTCCTACAGTTGATAGCAAACAGTGGGTACCAGCCCATGTCTACCCATTGTCCTCTGGATGCAGCCTCTGT